AATTTCCACCTATTGATTTTTAATGATATAATTAAATGAGATTTTAATTGCGTAAACTGAGTGTCGCTCAAAAATCATAACACACTAGCTCGTTTTAATAATTTTTAATTAGTATATAACGTAAATTATTTAAATTATACAGGGTGAATCACCAGAATATCTCTATTATTTGTAGCAATATTAAAAAATAATGTTTCAAAGTATATCATATAATATCGAAGAAATTATAACTTATTGTTAGCAATAATGATTTTTTTCAAAATCAGCACTCTTTTTTTTATGGAATGGCATGCAATTTTTATTGAGGCACCGTAAGTTTTGTCGTTGTTCTATTTTTTGAACAACTGTACAAAAACTATTTGGGTAATTATTCAGAATAGGACTTTTTCCAAATTGTAAAAAGCTTTTTTTTATGACTCGACAGTGATAGTCAATTGGGAAAGCTTTAAAAAACCTAACCTAACTTAGATCAAAGCAATTGTTACGTGGGCGTGGACGCAGTGAATTTCGCCCTATACAATTCTTTTGAATTAAGTTAGATTAAATTTTTTCAGGCTACTCTGAATGATTATTGTTGGATGTAATCACCACGACTATTTAAATCAAAATAACCGCGTCTTTTGTTTTATGATACACGTTCTAATTTCACAATACGTTTACTAAGTTTTATATCATATCATTTTTGTTCAAAAATATAATAGTTAATGGCTATCAATCTACAAAGTTTATTGTGCTGCGCTTATTCACGCATATTCCCAAAAACCTTAACAATTATCACCGCTGGAGTCACAAGAAAGCTTTCTGTTAAAAGAGCTGCAAAAAGATATTAAAACATGGAAAAGGCCCTACTCTGGGTAAGTTCAGGCAGATTGCCTGTACGAGCACCTCAGTACAGTCGGACTTGCCAGAGGCATAGCTATACTAGGACTATCGATCAGTGTTGGGGGTCATCATCGCAACGATGGGCCAGCAAATAACGAGCCGGACACGGGTGTCCGCTGACGTACGTTTTTTACTGCTACGGGCTGGAGATACATTTTTGCTTCGGGCGAGTTGTTGGAAGCGGTAGGGATGCCCCACTTTAAACTTTCTTGAAGTCACGCAGCGAAATGTCATTTGCTTTTGCAAGCAAAGCTTAATTTGTTTTACAATTATCGTGCCTCCAAATCAAAGCATCGCGTACAGGACAAGGAACGCACATGATTTCCGTGTAAACTTTACTTTACGATGCCACCTGGTACCGTCTGTTCTTCAATAATATGCGCTCGCAGTTCCATAACAGCGATGGTGAGAGGTATCATTGATAACAACGGCGCGGTTACCGTGATAGGCCCGACTGCACTTGCTGCCCGGACGATCTCGCTGAACATGCCTGGTCTACGAGCACGTGTATAAAGGGCAAACAATATCACGTAACACCGTAAAATACAGTGTAGTACGGAAATCCTATGAGTTCCTTATCCTAAACGCGATGCTTTGATGTGGATGCATGGGAGTTGTAAATCAGATTAACAAGTGAAAGGAATTCAGCTGCGTGACGGCGAGAAACTTTGTAAGTGAGAAGTACCCCGCCATTCACAATGGTTCGTCCGAGATGGTGTATGTACACTGATTGTGAGTTCCATCGAAGTTGTCGCAGTGAAGTTGGCGCACTAACACATTCATACCGCGTCGGTGAGCCGATGCACCGCGCCGATCGGATCACCGACGCGGCGTGAATGTGTTAGTGCGCCAACTTCACTGCGACAACTTCGATGGGACTCAGTATATGTATCTCGAGCCCAAAAAAGTGCACACGCGCAAATTCGGGCGTCGGCGTACGCTCGTGCCCGGCTTACCTACTACTCGCTAAGCGTCCTGGCCGTATTATGAATAATTACATAAAATATAAAAACAAGCCTTAGTAAAATTTTAGTAAGTGCCCAACGATTTTTGAGCGATACTGTATAGTACATTTGATGAACTTGTAGAAAAGGCGCTTCCTCTCCGATTTCGAATGATTTTTGAACGTGCTGTAAAAATTTGACATTTTAAGCACCTTTTTTTTTCTAACAAAGAGAAGCTGTTACCACTGCAGTGAATTCTACCTATACGTATGCGCGTCTGTAACAGTGTACGCAGCCATCGCTTCCTTGTTCCTGTAAACAGCGGCACTGGGGCCGGCAACCTCCTATACATGTAACGGGTGAACTTAAAAATCAAACTTTATTCATTGCAATAATTTTGGGCTGAAGTTCCGAATACGACTGGTCGCCGATCAAGATGAAATTTGGAGTATAGTATCGGTAGTCGGTAAACGATATACATATTAATTAGTACATACATCAAAGGTCGTGTATCGAGAAGGCGCGAGACCTCCCGACGTGCCGAAACACGATCGTAAAAATCGGCACTTACGATAGAATAAAGACTTCCCGACGTAAAACGTCAACACGCGTGATTCTTTAGAACTTTAGAACCCTTAGTGAAGTTACTACAGGAGAATTGGTTGGGAGCAGGTAGACGATCCCAAATATAAAGTGGTATCATCGGCTTACTATTAGTTTCCGAGATATTAATTAAAAACTTTTGGCACAATGCATACATAGAATTCTGCCTATACACACGTAACTAACACAACCATTAGCGCCGTAGTAACCACCGAGCATGACAGAGTAGGGGACCTCGATCTGACGATGAGTATATATAGGGTCTGTCACTCAGAATTTCGCCAATGCAATGAGCGTTGCATTTAGTATTATCTACCGAACTTAATCCGAAATTTTGTATATAGCTCAAATGTTTATAACTCCTTATTTTGCATTTTTGCTAAGCGAGATAAAATAATTTCAATTTTTTAATATAATTATCCTCCCGTTTTAGGGCGGGGGAGGAGCGAAGTTCTTCCCTCTGTATCCCTTCCCCAGGAAATATAACCTAACCTAACCATACTCGTAGACGAACTCAAGTGTTACCTTCTGTTCATACACGTATAAGCGAGAAATTCGCCATTTATATGTATACAAACAGAAGATAGCTATGCTTGTGACTATGCTGCAGGTTCACACTCTTGGATAAAATTCTGTGTATCGGTAAGAAAGTTGTTTGCGAATATTTCAACAGCTTGTTATTTCATCCAAAAACGAAAACCATATTCGTATTCAGCACGTCAAAACGAGTAAAACGACGAGGCTAAAGTAAACGTGAGTCACAATTTACAAAATAATGCATATGAGACACCTTGTAAATACTCAGGTCGAGGCCCCCTACTGTGTCATCGGTTACTTGTCACTTAATGATAGTGGTTACTACGGCGGAGATGGTTGTGTTAATTACGTCTGTATAGGCAGAATTCTATGTATTATGCCGGAAGTTTTTAATTAATGTCTCCGAAACTAATAGGCTGCTGCGGATACCGTTTTATATTTGGAGTCTCCCCGCCAAAGCTCGTGTCGATGGACCACCTAGGCACTTTGGTACTACACCCTATATTTCATCTAATCAGTGGATTAAGGTTAGACTAAATTAATATTCAGACGAAATTATTGAAATCAATTTAGTATGAGTTTTAAGCTTACCCGTTATATGGATAGCAGTCGGGTCACGCGGTGCTGTTGACAAAAACAGTAGATTAGCGAGGATTGCTTGCTGACGCACACACATCCGCAGACGTATACGTATTCCATGTAGTAGTACTCATAGTTTTTTGTGAATATCTCCGAAACTAAGCGACTTCGACATATTCATTAAGGGCACAGGCTCCTTCGAGGCCTCCGCCGAATCGATGTAAGCGCCATTGGAAAGAATCGGCCAATCATGAAAACACATAATTGAGAAATTTGACGGTGTGACATCTAACGTCATTGTGCAGAATAATAAACAAAACTGAGGTGGCATAGTTGCCAAATCACATCATTTGAGAGTCCTATTGCAGTGTTGCCGCATCTGTGACCATCTAGCAAAATGAATTTGTTCGAGCCGAGCAAGATTTTGATTTCTGGCGGATATAGAAAAGGATAGCACGAGAGAAAGAGAAGGAGTATCATGAATGAAACAACGTAGGGCCAATCGGCGGAAATATAGTCACACGCTACGACAGAGTCGATGAGACTCTGTAATACACATAACGTACGCGACTATAAAACTAATAGGAATAAAAACTACATAGCATTAATAATTTCAGGAAAAGAATGAAAAATAAAGACATGTAAATTGATCTGTAATATACAATATTTATTGATTGAAATATAATCAATAAATATAAACAATGCTTCTTCTTTCTCCGCGACGTTTACATCGTCGGTTACCATGACAGCCATTTCTTTATTTCTTATTCCCTTCTTGAAATTATTATGTCATGTAGTTTTCATTCCTATAAGTTTTATGGTAGCGTACTTACGTTAGTATGGTCACATTGACACGGGACATTTAAATGAAGGGAATAGATTCCGGTTTCAGTCCCTCTTTCGTCTTTTAGCTACTGACCCTTTCTAGTCAGTGTTTACTGACTAGACAATCAAATTCGAAAAATGATTCTTCTATTCCATAACAATTGCGGAGTGGACCAGCAATATGTAGTTACATTTATCGAGTTTTCACTGTATATGGTGCAAGTTTTATAATTCATTTTTCTGGCATACCATTTCAAGTATGCTATCTGTAATTTCATTGATAAAAAAATATGATTATAAATATGAATAAAAAAGTTTTATGGTTGCACACATTATTAAGTATATGTATTGTTTCATTCTCGGACCTCTTTCTCTCTCGAGCGCACTATTCTTTTCTATGTCTGGCAGAAATCAAAATCGGCTCGAGCCGATTCATTATGCTGATGATTACAATTGTAACAGATGTGGCAACAACGTGACAGTAGTCTTAATACGTGGCGGCAACTATGCCTTACTTGTGGCTATATTCGCGTAGCCGTTGGTGGTGTCAAATTAGAATTTACATTTATCGACTGATTTCTGTTTTTATCGACCCCGATGATAACGTGGTCAAATATACCATCAATGCCTCTGACGGAAAATCAGTGAACTATTCTTCCGTCTATTTGACGTCTGATGCGTGCAAATCGTAAATTTCGTTTTACGTCTTCCAGAAGTGGTAAATTCTGAAAAATCGAATTTCAGTGATATTGTGCTAGTACAAGGAAGGTCGGTCTGGTGTGCTATCGGTGAAAAAACAATATTTGCTAAAATGCAGTCGAACGCAGCATTCGGCAGCCATGTTGTTTGCTTACAACAGCGTCTGTCTCAATCTTACAATTTCGAAAATACGATTTTTCTCAACGTAAAGTGTTTATTAGCGTTCAAGCGGATCAGACCGACCTGTACTGAAGTCTAGCCGTGTGTGCTGTACTCGCGAAAATTTTATTTATGCAATTATCGAGACGAAAAATCGATTCTACGAAATTGAGTATCTCTCTCGCGCATGGCGTATACGTGCACTCACACAAACAACGGATAGAAGTTGCTTAAAATGTCGAATTTTACAACACATTCAAAAATCATCGAAATCGCAGAAGGAACGCTTTTTCTACAAGTTTACTGTACATTTAAAATAATGTTTATCTTATTATGTGTAAATTAAACATCCATGAAAATGTTAATTTGTAGATTGATCTTGTCATTATTATTGTTCCCTCAAGATAAATTACGTAATTTTCTGATGCTACACGCATGTAGCTTTGTATCCGTACACGAGGTCAGCTGTCTTACTACAAGATGGCTGGTCGTGTTGATAAATGTTACTTTTCTTTTCTCTAAGTGTGCACTTAGCAAATATCTCTTGCTGTTCCGTATCATTTCCTATTTCCTCGATTGACGGATTATCCTTTGGAATTCTTTCAACATTCATACTCGAACGTCTTTCTTTTTGCATAGCTTTCGCAGCTTCCTCGTCTTTTTCTAAAAAGTTGCACATGCTAACGCGTCTCTCTCTCGGTAATGATTTTCCAAAAGAAAAGTTGGGCTTGGCCAAAACTTCCGTTCTATCAAAGTGATACGCACTACCCACTCGATCTCTTTGCAACGGTCTGGCCAAGACATCCATTCTGTCGAATTGACAAATACTACCGCCACGGTCTCTTTGTAATGGCCGGGCGAGAACGTCCATTCTGTCGAATTGACAGATACTCATCCCGCGGTCTCGCTGCCATAATTTCGAGGATGTGTCGAACTGACAAATACTCATCCCGCGATCTCGTTGCCATAATTTCGGGGCAGCATCGAATTGACAAATGCTCATTCCTCTGTCTCGAAAAGATGGTTTCATCGCCTCGTTTCTGTCGAACTGGCAGATACTAGTCTTTCGTTCGCGTTGCAAAAGTTTCGTGGATTCACTGGCTGGTTTGAAGCTTCTCGGTGCATCCTGCTCGCCAGAGCCTTCCGCATTAGTCTCCGAAAAAACCAGAAACTGAAGGTCGAGCGCACTTTTTGTACGACGTGGTGTACCTTGGCTGCCGGGAAGCAAACACGAGCTGGTACCAATGAAGACGCTGTTTTGCCTTGGTCGCATTTCACCCGAATTAGAGTTCAATTCCAGTCGCACAGGATATTCTCCGCAGAGAACATTACATTTTGAGTACGTGCGCCGGTTCTGTGAACAAAAGAACCAATCATTTATGAACCAATTTTGTTCGCAGAATTGAACTAGGAAAATTAAATGAATCTATACTTATATGACACTTTAAAATAAAAATAGATTAAAGTGAAAAAATAGATTTCCTTTTCTCTAAAAATTAATTGGTATTTTATTGGATTTTTTAAAAATAAGGTTGACCTTTACTTTGGGGCACACAAAATTGTTGATTTATTTTAAATTTTAATCGTTGAATGACGGACCCTGAAGAGAGATCCAATTTTAATTTAAGTTTGTATTTTATACTATCTTGATTTTTTAATTTTAGAAGTTCAGTTTAGAAGTACAATATAATAAAAAGAAAGAATGATGATATTGTGCAAGAGACGTTTCAGTATATGAAGTCTCCATTGACGCAACTCGGTAAGGGTCAGAGTGGGCCTAGCCTTCTTATAGGTCTAGACTGGCCACTCTCTACAAATGTGGACCATCACTATTCTAAAGTTTAAAAATTCTAAAATTCCCAAATTTCAGAATTCGCGATCTACGTCAAGCCCCGCTTTCGTGGCTGACGCTGCCGTCCCTGAGCTCGCACGCTATGCGTGCTCGGATTGGTCAGTGTTTTTCCTTAATAATTCAAAAACGAAGCTTCAAACAACTTTTTCGCAAAGGAAAAAGTTGTTCAGAATCACCCCTTCACTGGGTGAAAATGAGTTCTAGGACACTCTGTATGTTACTGTGAAACACCGAAATTAGTGAATGTCAACATTTTCCGGCGAATGTCGACAGATACCAAACACGACGGCGAAAGACCGAATATTTCTCAGTATTATTATACATTCGGACCTTCGCCGGCAGATGTCGATAAATACAGATGAGCTCTGGTGAATGTCGGACGATACGTCTGAACAGGATTATCCAGTCGTCTAGCGCAACACGAGGTGTATTGTGTTGTTGATGTTCGTTAGTTTTACTAATCTAACCTAAACTTCTCTTATGTTTTTTCTTTTATAATAAATTATAGTAAATATTTAGAATAAGGGAACCACCTCCGATTTTGTTACCGGCGAACGACGCGCGCGTAATGGTTGCCAACTGTCTAGTGGATTTCCCACCGATTTGTAGCTAAGATCGCTCGATTGTAATAGCTCTACTTCCGGAACGCATGGCGGACACTTCGGAACGTATCATTGTACGAGTAATCACATTTCATCATATATTTTATATAATAAATACTTTTGCACTTCTAACCGTGTCGTGTTCCACTGCCGCTCCCACTCCTGCCATCAGATTTCCGTTCTGTAATCCCAGCATGTGTTTTCGAAGATGACAACATATTTCAAGGTGATCGAAATTGGAGGTGGCTCCCTTATTCTAAATATTTACCCATTCACCGGTGTAAGTAAGAAATAATGATATTTGGCAAATATTTCGGACATACATAAATCGACTTGGTGAATATTGACATTTACTGGAGGATGTCAACATTTTCCAGATTTCGGTCTTACACGGTGTACAGTAACGATAGACTCTAATAATATTTGACGCGTACAAATACCAAAGATGACTCTTTATTTTTAATTCCCGTATCGAATACAGTTTCCTGTTAAAGAAAAAATTCATACAGATTTCTTCACGTGACGTGTAACATGCATGCATTCACGCTTTTTGGGGGGGGGGGGGCCTCCTGGTTTTTTAGCGCGGACCTCCAAGAGTGCCGATCGGAAAATATGCGCGCACCAATCAAAGCAACTCTCGCGCCTAGTTTTGCGCTCCGTACCGATCTCTAGTGCCGGACCGTCGAGACATTTTTTTTTCTTCTTACGGAACCCCAACGCGCTGAGTATTTCCAAATCCTGTGGCATGTCCACGAATCTCTTTCGATCGCCACTGATCTCGCAAACAGCCTTCCGGCCACAGTACGAGCTAGTTCATCTGTGTCCGGTTCTTACCTCTCCCGAGCAGCTTGGGCTATCGGTGCTATGGTAAGGGTCAGCACTCCCGGGCAGTTTTGTACTCCCGGTATTACGGTGACATTTGCCACTCTCGGTGCTACGGCAAACGCACGGCCACAGGTTTCCCTGTGCGTATAAAGGCTTCTAGGCATAGGCGAACCCATGCACTACTGCAGGCCTGTCCAAGTAGGGGAATCAACTCCTGGAACACATGTTTTGGGTCCCCTTCCAACGTTGCTCCTTCAAGTAAGATGGGACGGTTCCGACTACCGTCTCTCCGTCTTTCCTAGCGGCGGTATTGTCTCCTCGGTCCCATCTTACTTGAAGGAGCAGCGTTGGAAGGGGACCCAAAACATGTGTTCTAGGAGTGAATTCCCCTACTTGAACAGGCCTGCACTACTGCATTGGATCCAGTGCTCTCGAAGGGCCGTGTACCACCCTGAAATTGTTTACTAGGTTCGGATAATTAAATATTCCTCTTTGCGGTTTTTTATAGATAAACATTTATTCGGACAGATTCTATCCGTAACATACGGTAACATATATACAGAGTGAAGATCGGTGAAAGCTTACACATTGAATATTTTTCAACTTATAGAAACTGAAGAATAAATTGTCAAATAAAAGTTGCACGATAAGAACAGGGAATTATATAGTGTTAACAGAGATCTACAAATCTGTATGGATATTTTTTGTATGAAAGGAAAATAATTTACAAATGTTGTGGTGTTCCATATTGGATGCATCTACCCTACAGCGTAAGACTAGAGATATATATAGGTACTTGAAAATGATTTACCGTTATAGAAGTTCTTTCTGATAAGAAGAAGCTGGTTACAAATGTCGAAGATCGACTACATTTTCGCGTGAACTCGTTACTCAGCTCAAACGAGAATGTATGCTACATAACTCTGCGGATGACACTTTCCTGTACGCGCACTGTCCCGTATGAATATCCGAGAACATGAATAGGGCGTGTGAGCCGGAAATTTCCTTCTTCTTGTCGAGCGGAAATCCTACTCGAATTAGGTCATCGTAATTTACATTTCATTACATCTAACAAGAAATAAGATAAATCTTTATGCGAGTTGAATTAGAAGAAAATTAAATTTCAGGTAAAACAAATTACGATTTAGATCGTCAATGAGCACGTGGAAATTGGGTTTCTCTTGTACATCCTTTTTCTTAACTGACGTTCCAAATATTTTATTTCTGTTTAGAAAGCATTTAATAAAAATATTTATTTGGAATTTCTTGATACTGTCTTAGCATCGCTTCCAAGTTTGTATTAGAAAGTTCCAAGAAATTATAATGTCGGACGTAGAGTTTGTGGACGTGCATTCGACAATACAAGAATCGGTGTGCCCTGAAGAAAATGTGCGCAATGATATTGCGAGATTGCAGTTGAAAGATGCCGTGGTGTGTTATGAAGAGCTCCTTGCTCAAGATGACATGATTGCATCACAACCTTCAGCAGTCATTAATGACAGGGCCATTCTCATGGGAGAAGAAATTTACTATCATACGATAGAAATGTTGAGCAAGAAGAAACTCATCGAATGCGAACAACTTTTTATGAAGGATGAACTCGACGAGGAGAACGCGTACGAAGAAGTTGGAGGATACAGTTCGTCCGAAGATTATGAGCCAGAGAAGAAGACGATGAAAACAGAATATATTCCACTGGAATACAAAATTAAAGTGTTGAATATTGCAACAGCACAACCAAGTTGGACACTGAAGAACCTACTGAAGAAAGGGTGCTCCCGCTTGAAACGTATGGATGATCTGGCAAAGTGGAAAGCACACATTAAAAGTGGTGGGACCGTATTTGATAAATATGCTATCATCGATTCCTGAACAAATGACCGTTTCTAGGAAGCTCGGAACAATTGTCAGTAAGTGACTATACGAAACCTGCAGCAGTGGGTGCTAGCTGATGCATGCCAGTTTCGTGCCTTTGCATTTAAAGCGTCTGATACTTGGGTGAAGCAATTCAAACGGAAGCATGGCATCCGGCAACGGAAAATCACAATGGAGGAAACGTGGGCTTCAGCAGAAAATTTTCGTACACAAGCTTGTGCTCTGATACCGAATTTCAATTCGGATTTCGTTATCAACACGAACCAAACAGGCTATCAATATCAATCCATCTTCGATAGAATGCTCACCCACCGAGGGTCAAAAGTAGTCACCGTCCAAAGGTAGAGCATGCAGGGCCGGTTTTAGCAATATTGGCGCCCCGGGCAAGATTATCGTGGCGCCCATTCAGGGGTTAAAAAACGCGTCAGGGAAGATGTAGACATAAATGTCGCAGTATATATAGCATATATGTAATATTACATATGAGATGTAGATAGAAAGAAGAGACAATCAGAAAATATCGGTATATTCGCATACTAGGGACACCGGGCTGCGGCGCCCTCTACAGATCTAGCGCCCTGGACGATTGCCCGACCGCGCGCCCCCCTAGCGCGGGCCCTGAGAGCATGAATAAGCTGACTCATTTTTATACAGCCCAATACGCTCTCACTTTGTTGGGAAAATTATTACTTGCTGTTTTCGTGTGCCTGCAAGAGGCACATTTGGACCGAGTGTTGAAAAGTTAGTAGACGAGTATTCGGCCAAATACCAGAACGACGTTGTGACTTGTTCAAAATCGGGAAAACTCCCAACTGCATTGTATAAAGTTTTTTTAAGTACTTGCTTAAAGCCATGTATACAGAAAGTACAGTTCCTTTTACTGATAGATTCTTGGGGAGGACAGACTAATCCAGTGATATATGACGAAATATTCCAGGATGACGAGGGTATACCAATGTGCAGTGTGAAAGTAATACATATTAGTAGTGATTTTGTTTTGACACCAAATTTCAAACTGATCCGTCTGGTGGTTTGGAAGGATTAATGCTTCAAAGTGAAAATCCTGACCGTAGAACCACTCACGAAATAGAGATAAAGAGCTGCAATGCCAGTTCAGTCACACAACGAAACGTAGTGTTATTGTGCACTATCCAATAATATCAAAATGGAACCCTAGGACAAATTGCAGTATGCGCTTCT